GCGCGAATTAAAAATTAAAGTATATGCAATTTACTTTAATTTACTTTTCTAAATGAATAGAGTTATAAGATAGAAAATATCACTGTTGTTATCTTCAAGATATTTGAAAATTGAATCGTTTATAGCAAAATTTAAAACAATGGCTAGCTTTTAACCAATCAGAAAATTCCATTTCGACTTTCACTGATATCGCTGGAACGGTTTATCGCAGAATGTTCTAATGTCGACAGAAACCTTCCTCGTGCTTTGAACTATCTGTATGCCAAGTTTCATAGCTTTCTGTCGGATGGTTTAGGAGTCTATAGAGGACAGACAGACAGACACACATTCACTTTTATATATATAGATTAGTTCACAAGACTGGTAATCTTGGCAAGGCATCTGCGTTGCATGTGCTCTACCTTTTCCACTTGCAATTCTAAAATTTTAGTTTTGGAATGCTAATTCCCACTTTGTAACTCTGCACTGTATGTCAAATACGTGAGTGGTTCTTGACCGGAAATGACTTTGATTTTTGAATTAGAAATTCATTTATTGAACTGTTTTAACGCCTCCAACACTGAAAAGGCACCTCGATCGTAACTTTATCTTTTTGTTTTTATTTCTGATAACTTCTTGCTAAAAAATGCAATTGAGATTTCTATTACATGCTCATCAGTTTATGATAAGAAGGCTCCTGAGGCATTTGTACTAGCGTCAGTAAATAGTTGAAATGGTAGCTCCATATTGGGAGTGTACATCTAAGACATTTCAGTCAACATTCTTTGAGTGTTCAGCTGAGTTATCTCAAGGAATATAGTTTGTTTCTACTTTTTGTTTTTCTTGGTAAAGTTGGTAGAAGGTAAGATTATATCTGAAAATTTCTGAATATATTCCATAATAGTCTAATAAATCTAAACCCAGAAAACTTTTGACTTCCTCCTAGTGGATGGTCGGTCTAAACTTTGCATTTTCTTAATCTCTTCCTTGATGGGTGGAATGTTGTCCGTATTCGATTAAATGACTTTAAACTTTTACTGAGTTTTTCCCCAAGTCATAGTTTTTAAGATTCACTTTCAGCCCTACTTCGTTCAAGACTCTAAAGACTTGGTTAATATGATAAGGGTTATCATCCCTAGAGTCAGAAAATATTGCAACATCATCGATATATAATAGATGGTATTTGCAAGAGGGAAATGAGCTTTATCCATCGATTAAAATTGATGCTTTATCCATCCATTGAAAATTGATTTTGAGCCCTTTCACTATCACTCGTTCCCATCAGCTCTAGCCAAAGTAGTTCTTGAATTTGTTAATCCACTCGTTCCTGTGGAGCAATAGGTATGAGATGGGGTTTCATTTTCTTTGGAAACAAATCCGGAGTTAAAGACAATGAATGTCCGTTCACTTTTGTTAATCTTGGGATGTAATCAAAAACATCAACAAAATATTGCAATCTGATAACTAGCTTCTGTTTTTGCAACTAATTTAAATTTACAGAATTTTTATGCACATATTTTCGAATATCATCTTTAATCAATTTTAAGGCTTCAGAGGGTGCATGATGTAAATCTTCAAATTCTTTTTCATAGTCAAAAATCATATTATTTGACCAACCTTCACTACATTCTGTCGGAGCTTGATAAAATGTAGTTTTCTGATTCTTCTGTCCATTTTTACCAGTGCGGTGTGTTGCCATGGCAACTGAGCAGTCGCTTCTGGACCTATCCATGTTCTCAACAGTTTATCAGAAAATGAGGATCCAAACCTGATCTGCAATTTTAACTTACTCTTCCTTTAATCTATCCACTAGTTCATATGACGAAATACCAGTGGTACTATGTGCTACTTCTCGATAGGGGAGCATCAGATATTGGAGGTGTAAGTCTCTGTCACTGACATTTTCTTAAAGGTTCTTATTTAACAAATCTTTTAGAGTACTATTCCAATGTTCTACTGCTCTTATACTTTCAGGATCTTCGGGAGTAGTAAACACTGGAGATAGATCCAAAATGTTAACAAGCTCTTCTGTAAACTCGGTAGTAAAATTTGTCCTTTAATCTGCATAAATGGTATCTGGAAACCGTGTTTGTTTGAATATTTTCATTAGAACATCAGGCGTTGTTGATTTAAAAAATCAAAAAAATCAAAATAGGATAAAGATATAATCTTGTCATGAACTCACACGATTATGTCCAGAATAAAGAGTGCTTTCGAACATTGTATTTCTATTATCTAATTAATTCAAATATATCAAAAGAATAAGGTAAGGATCACCCAAAAAGTTTAAAAAATGTAAAATTGAAATGTAGAATGTAAAATGAACGATTCGAGATTAATCAATCGAAATTAATCAATTCGAAATTAATCAGTAATTCGAAATTAATCAATCACTCGAAAAAAATGCAGTATAAAACTTAAATTTTAATATATAAAGCGACCAGTGCATCCAAATGTATGTACACTTACCACCGTTTTTTCAAAATGATTTAAAATGTTTCCGTAACAATCTAGCCATTTAAAAAATACATGAAATAAGAAATGTAAAAAGAGAATGATAAAAGCAAGTTATGGCACGTTCTTATTGAATTAGAGAGGCGCATTTGATTTGTTAGTTACATTGGATTGACCCGTACCTGGATGGACCAGAATCAGAATATGTGCAAGATAATCATAATATACCGGATAATTCAAAATTTATAACTAATAAGGTTGAATTTTAATAAGAAAATTTTAATATTGTTAAAGTTGAATTTTAATCAGTTTTATATTGATGATTTCAGAGAAATTATTAACATTTTGTGAAAAAAAAGTATTTTTCTTATTTTAAAACATTCTTTAGTAAATATTGAAAGAATTTTAGTCACGGATTTGCTAGATGATAATAAATTTAATGTAAATAAACTAATTACATGACATTCTAATGTTTCTAAAAAGAGTTATTTAATGCAATTTTCAATCAAATGATTAGAATTATAAGAGTTTGCAGCCATGTTTATTTATTTAGAAAAAAGACGAATTCTAACAAAATTTTTTAAAAAAACAATAAATTTTCAAATAATGAAAAATAAATTCCATGTAAAATCGTTAAGTTAAACGGATTGTATTATTAAAAATTTCTATGTTAACTAAATTTATGTTCTTACCTAGTACAAATCCAATTCGAGCAAATCCGTTTCTGAACATTTCCCATTATTTAATAAACAATTCTTTTAAAAATAATTTTTTTCTTTAATTGATAATAATTTCTCTAAAAATATCAATAATTTCTTTTCCTCCTTATTATTGTTAAAATTTCACAATTAAAGTTATATNTTCCTACCTTCTACAAAAATGACTATTAGTTTCTTTGATTTAATATATATTTTCTTTAACCAAATATATTTGCAGTTATGAGAATATTTGATAGTAAGTAACTATGATTTGAATTGCATACATTTCATTTATAGCAATTAACTTTTTCGTTTAGTCATTAATTATCTTTGTCGAGCAGTGGACTGATCGTTAAGACACGGTTCCCAGAAGATCACCGAATTCTAGCATTAATGACTGTTGTCAGTGTGTGGGTGGTGAGCACCTTGATCAGGCTGCTGTGGGACCGAGGGTATGCGGTATTGGTCCTCATTAAACTGTTGTACCGTAAAGTGCTCAGCTTCGCGTGCAGGTAATTGGGCTATCAAATCGGGGTTCCGTCCAAAATTGTGATGACGTATCTTCTGATCATCCTCAGGGATGCTTCTCAGACCGTCGCCAATAGCCCATTGTGCAGCTCTAGTGTGACGTAAATGAAATACAACAACAATTTTAATTACCTTTTTTAGCAAGAATGCATCAAACTATTTGTATGAAAATGAGCAAATAAGGATTGAACGGATTGTTTTGATAATTAATTTGCGAAATCAAGGAAATTGAATATCTTATGGTGGGATCATTTTCATGGCCTGAAAAAGAACGTTATGGCAACTTTTGGAAGTAATTTTTATAATTTTAAATAATTGAAACAACTACCAAACGTAATTATTACTACTAGCAAATATAATAATATTTACATTTGGTAGTAACTTCAATGAAAAATAACTATTTTTTCTAAATCTAAATAACTTATGCAAATGCGTGCTAATTAGGAAAGTTAATATTTTGAAGTGAACCGTATTTAATTAATGTACTTCATTACCATACTCTATATCATTACCATTCAAACTGTATTTCATTACCATAAGTTATAAAAACGCTAAATTTAAAATTTTTCGCTTATTTAACCAAAAATTCTACTTCAAAGGATTAAGGTCAAAGGTACGGATATAATGATTCATTGTTGACGTGATTTTTCTGAGAATCTAAGTGATTGATTTTTTAGTTATTCCAACTTATAAAGTCATTTAAATATTCATTTCTTACTCTTTATTATTCATATAAATTCCATTTTCAATTTTTGATTGTGCACATCCATTTTGCATTTTTTATGACTACTTAATCCAATTATGGGGTATATGCGTAGTCACGCAGATGGTTAGAGGGACGGTTCCTTGAAAATTAACAATTTCGAGATTAATGGCAAAGAGTTGATGGATTAAACTGTAATTTTCTAATAAAAATTGTATTTTGAAGATGCTAAAATCTATTTGATTAGCAAAAAAATAAATTCATTGCATTTTAATGAAAATAATGGAAATTTTTAGATATATAAGCTTAACATAATTCTATTCATTTGTAAAAGAATCTTGTAAATCATTAAAAAATAGCTATTTGAAAAAAATCGCAAGCAACGATCGCGATAAAATTCAGATCTAGTAATGATAAAAATATGACTGAAATGTGACTTAAAAACTAAATTGATTATAAGCAAAACTTTTCTTGACAATTAAAAGAGGAAAAAAAAACGAAAATAATTAAAATATAAGCTTTTGTTACGTAAAATGCAACATTCTCCAATGTATAGATGCAAAATAAATCATAAAATAAACGAACTCTGAGAACCTTTCTTCTAAAAACATAACAAATTGTAATGTTTTTTCTAAGCCAATTGCCACCAGACACATCTTACACATGCCTGTTAATACTCAGCAAAACATGAAATCTGGTAATTGATACAGTCTAGTTCGAGAAAAAAAAAGGTTAAAGAAATTTAGGAGTAAATAATTATTTTTACAGGCACTTAAAAGTTTTGTTTAAAAAAAAATTTAAAGCATTGTTTTTGTTTTAAATGCAGCTTTTGGACGCTAATGAAGGGTCGTAGAATTTAATTCAGACACAAATGGTAAGTTAAATAATTCTGTTATTAATAATGAGTTAAATAATTCTGTAATTATGCTGATTAATCAAACCAATAGAATAAAACCGGTTTACTTTGCAATATTCTAGTATAATAAAAAATTACCCTGGAATTATTTTCAAATTAGTAAACATAATAAACGGAATATGACGTACAGTGCTAAAAAAATATGTTCTGAATAACTTTTGTTCTAATTATCGGATCTTCAAATACTAAGACTTAATAAATAGTTCGAGGGGTTGATGAGGTTAATAAATTCAGATCAAAATTCAAGTTCAGGAATTAAGCACAACATGAAAACATTTTTTTTTCGGATTATACACTTTTTTTTCTTTCTTTTTTTTGCCGAATTTATTTTGCAGACTCTCAAAATATAAGGGTTGTAACTAGCTGTTAAATTTAATCCTAACAGTTCGGATAGAAGAGTAATCAAATGTTTGGACCTTTTAATGTTATATTCCTTTTTTTGCATTTCCCCGTACCTCGGGAATTTTTTTAGAAAATCCTATATATTTTTGTTCATCCCTTTAAAATATTAATTCATTCAAATATAATTCGAGGCAGAACTAATTTTAGTTACAATTTAGTATCTTTTATTAATTTCTTATTTATTAATTTCCTTTAATTATTTTATTAATCAATAGATAAAAAAAATTTGCAATTTTTTGTCTAATGCAAAAAATACAATTTTAAAGAATGTAATTTAATATAGAATAATAAAAAAATCAAATGAATCGCGAATTTATTTTAAATCGAGTTATTTTGTTCAAATTTTAAATTTTGCACATAAAATTATCTTCCTCAAAATGACGTAAAAATTTGTATACATTACAATTAGAAATTTTCCTCCTATTATCAAATAAACTCTGAAAAAATAATAAATACTTATGAGTAATATATTTTTGCCTTGAATTATATTTGGATAATTGAATTATATCAGAATGTAATTTTTTTCCCAATTTGTTTAAAAAATTTTAGAGATAAGACAGAATACGGAAATATAAAATTACCATCTAGGAGCCAAATCCTCTAAGTTTGGAAAATAAATTTCTAAATTTAAATATTTCTTGAGTAATGGGATTTTTACTAAAGGTAGAAATTGTTTTAAAAGTAAGGGTGCTCGTTTTTCTCTTTTGAAATTTCATTAAAGTTCACTTGTACCATTGTTAAACTCAGTTACTCCATATTGTGTTACCTAGCACTGCAATATGACCCTCAAAGGTTTAACTCAATAAAATTCGATTATTATTTATTATTTTACTCCGCTGTAGTCATAAATTATAAATTATTTTTTCATCTATGTAATGTTTATAATCTGATTTGTTTAAAAACAATGTTTTTTCTACAACTGTTTTCTTTTCTACTTTGTATAGGTTGAGGCAACCCCTTACAATGAGCTAGCTTCAACTGCATCTGTATGTCTATCAATCCTTCTCTTGTGTTATTGCAAATAAAAATGTGAAGTTTGTCTTGGGATTGAATCTTTTTGCTCACTTAAATTTTCGAAATATGCGTAAATCATGGGTTCAGTTGCATAATTTTTTAGAAAAGTTGTTATAATATTTTATTTTTCTATCAAAATAATATAATTAAAAATTGCATTTAGTTGCGAACAAAATATTACTAATATTATACTTTAGTTTGTTTACTCTGCATTTAACTCGTTCCAAAGGAGATTTTATTGGTTATTGTTAAGCAATTTTGTCTTAATTAACGAATTTAAAACACAGGGGAAAATGTAATGAGCTTCCACTTTCATGTTAAAATATATATAAATGCAATACATTTTTTTTATTACAACGCGTGGCAAATTTGCAAATGGTCCAAACGGTTTGAACACACCGCAGCGAGAAAGAAGCAAGATAAATAATAGATGATAACTACTAGCTATACAGATGAGTTTATAGCATCCTTTATCATTTTTTAATTGAATATGCGAAAGTGCTTGGAATCATTTGGTTATTTGTTGTATCTTGTTTCCAAAAATATTTAGATAGCATAATTTTTTAAGGATGTGTGGTGTTATTGATAAAGAGAGTAAATTGCGGTTTACCTGAAATCTGTCGATTTCGCACCATTTTTCTTACATTTATTTCAGTTATGAATCAAATATATATTTGTAAGAATGAAATGCACAATTACTCTTTTCAACTAGAGAAATAATTCTCCAAAACACTGATCATTCAGATTTTTTCTTTCTTCTCTTTATAATACAATTTATTTTATGATGAAATTAAATTGAAGTAAATAAAAATAGCACAGAAACATTTTTAACACATAACAAAACTAAAATTTAAAATAAAAGATTTGAAACTGAATAGAACATTTTATGTTTCAACATAAATACACAGCATGGATAAATTTCGAAACACTATCAATTTACGCAAACCTATCTTTATTCAATAACTTTTATAAGTGAAGAAAAGACAGAGGCTGTAACGAAAATTGAAAAAATATTTTTGAAATCTACTATATTAATTAACCTATAATAATTAGTTGTTGTTTAACCCATTCTACTATATTAATTAGTTGTTGTTAGAGTCCAAAGGGATCCGTTAGGTCTGCAAAATATTTTAAAAAAGCATTGTGATGATGTCGGAGTGAATAATCTTTAAATAATATTGTACATGATTTAAAGTTTTTCATCTACAAAAACTGAACTAACTCACTGATTCAATTGTTACAAATCAGACTATGTCTATAAAAGACATCCTGGAATGGATTGTTACGAAAACAGCGTTGCTTTCATCCAGCCCTCTAAGGCTGCAACGGTTGAGCTAATTCGTTGAACGGTTGAACTGAGTGAAAGATAAATTTAGAAGGTTAGATAAAATTTGAGCGCAAAGAACGTTATACTTGGAAAATTCACTGAGTTAACAACTCCATCCTTGTTAATTACATCCAGTATTTGGTTTGTTAATTCTTTGTTCAGAGCTATAGAATTTTTTTTTAATTAAATAATTTTATTTCATACATTTTTATCTAAGATTCTTTAAAAACTTTCAAAATAATATATAATTAAATAATAACGTAAAAGAATTTTAGCATTATGTTTTTCAAAAATTTTCTCTTCTTTGCAAATCTGGCACTGGTAGTAATCCTCGATTTGAGATCAGTAAAATAAAGCAAAATATTATTCTTTTTATTGTTTTTACCCATGCATTTACGTAATTAAGTTAAGCAAAAGAGTTTTTATTAAGTTTCTTCCGTAAAAATTATTAACTGTAATCCGCATTATTAGGCATGATACTATTGCTGGAAGTGATATACTTACATTAGCACTTATAGTAGTATATTTGGCAACTATTAGAAACAGCATAATATCAATAATACTAATAGTAATAATAGCAAATAGAAACGCAGTAGAAAACTACATTTCATTATTGTACAAATTTAACATTCTTAACAAATAACAATTGATTAAAACTATTTTATACTAACGCTTCATAAAAAGTAAAAACTATATTTTATTACGTAATATGCTGGTATATGAAATATATTTTTGAAAATAAAAGAAATATAGTCAGTAGATTTACTCTATTGTCTATTGTTTTTCGTATTATTTTGAACTATACAAAAGATAGTAGAAGTTTTTAAATTTACTATTGAAGTAATATTTAAAAACAGTTAAATATATTTTCTTAATGGCATGAAATTGCTGTAATTGACTCACAAATACAAAGTTTACTAGTATACAACAGTCTTTATCTTTTTCTTTTCCTTATTTTTCTCTTTTTTTTGTAATACAAGTGCCAATCCCCAGCGATATTTGCTTCTACAAATATTTAATAAAAGATCGAGTGTTATACAGACAAGCTCTGTATGAAATTACATGACACACTTAAAAGAAAATAGTACAATTTGAAAATTAGTTCGTCACGGTAACAATTTAGCGTGGAGACGATTCGACGTGAGCGTTACAATTCGTTACGGCAATAATTCGTTGGTGCCATAATATGCCATAATTCGCTGTGGAAACAATTTGTGGAAAGAAAACTTTGTTATGGGCTAAAATACAGGCTGTTTCACCGAAGACACTTCGTCGTGGCGATAATTCGTCTGAGGCACTACTTGCGTGGTTCTACTCTTCGTGTTAGTAAAAAGTTCCAAATTTAGTTTTTTCTTTTTAAGCAATAATTTTTACCATTATTTTTAACTCATTTAAATGTTTTTAAATTGTTAAGCGCATAACTCTTTTAGTATGTGAATATAGGTAGAAAAATCACTCTCATGTTCGATTCACATATCTCATATTTTGCAGGTTTAAGCAGTTAACGGCTGTAACAAGCTAACCCAGCATATAATTTTATGAAAAAAGTATAAATTGAGTGTAAAGTATTTTTATAACTATAATTTATTTTGGTTAAGCACAGTAGTTCATCCACCGCAATATATTTGTAGGGAGAAATATATTAATATATAATAACTTTAGACATATTTTCTACCCACCGCTTTTAATACTGAAAATGCTGTTCGAATTAAATTTTTTAAGCTTAATAATTTACTGAAGCATATTGTTGCAGATTCCCTATATTTTTTAAAAATTTCGCTCATTTTATAGAAATTAGTGGCTGGGGAAATATGATATTTTACCTTTTCTTATGTTCTTTTAATGAAACACGATATTTTATTTAACATGGTAAGTAAATTATTTAAATAATAGTATTTAAATTTTAATATTAATGTCCACTTAATTTTAATTAAATTGAAATTTAACAAAAATGTCCTTCCAATAATAAGCAAGCTTTTTTTTGTTGTTTATTGTGGATACTTTGCCCTTGTCGGCAAAAATAGGCAAATCACCACCCCTGTCTGATTACTAGGTTTTATGAACCCGGTGATAGCGGATTGCGCTAATGGTTTTTAAAAACATGGTGGATTGCACTGCTAACATTTTATCCCCCTTGAGAAAGGTTGGAGTACTGCGCTCAAGGTAACCCTTATGACCATACTTCAATTATGCAGTAAAACAATTTCTGATAGAAACGTCGTCTCGCCAATATTTTTCGCCAGAAGCTAGAGAGGGGATATGTCAATAAGTGTTCCTCCATCTTTTGGTAATCTTCAATTAAAAGGAGTTTTTTATATGTCGTAAGTTTTGATATTTCTGTAATTATAAAATGCAAACTATATTTAAATTATGAATAAAAAATTTGTTCATTTTAAGGTGACCAGTAGCTTAAATTTCTGAAAATTGGTCTAAATTTTAATTAGGCCGACGCAATTCTTTCAAGAATATTGGTAAAAAGTTGTGCCAACTTGTTCTCTTAAATGAAATAAAAAGTAAAAGTTCTGGGCACAGTGCCAAATTTAAATTAAATTGTAAAAACCTTAGTTTAATATTCAAAACTTTGATTTTAATGAATTTTAAACCAGTTGAAACTTCTGCATATTATTTTTTAAAAAAAGATTTCCGGGTAATATGTTCGAATTCTTACCGTTAACACACGAAAAAGTTAATGACTACAACTCTAATCAGAAGTCATGGTTGTCAAGCATTTTTTTTACTCCAAAATCGTATATATTTAATTTGAATCGGATTTTTTTTAAATAAAATTTATTGGATTTTTTGAAATTTACTATTAAAAGCATATGATAAAAGATTATAATAAAACTATTGTTTAAAAGAAATAGAACTGAAATAGTTAATATTTCTTACTAAAATGGATAAAATTATTATATTATTACAAACTAATCACTGAGTTAAAAAAAAACCACAATTATATTTTTCAGGCTCAACTTGGTAATGATTGTTAAAAATCGGGAAACAGTTTTTCAACTAGATACCTAATGAAAATTAGTTAGTTTAGATAAGAAAACATAAGTGAAGAAAAAATGTCTTTCTGGTTTGAGGAACTCTTGATACACTCTAACTACATATTCAATAAGATATAAAGGCACTGCATTTTAATTAGCAAAAAAGAAAATGGGTGTAATTGAAATATATTTTTAGCTTGACAATTATTTTAAATGTATTAAATGAAAAACTACAATTTAAAAGTTTCATATCACACTTATTCACGTATGTTGTCTATTTTGAAACATAATAACTTACATGCATATCACTTTCGGTATTTCTTAGTAAAGATATCCTCGTTATCAATAAAATCGGACTTAAAGAAATAGCTCTCGAAAGAATGCATTTACTTATTTAATTGTATAAAAATATTTTCTTCAATTAATATTTTTTCATCATTTTGTTGAAATTAGTGATTTATTTTTTTAAAAAAAAAAGCACTTTTGACTTGCGTTAATGCATTTTTTAATGAATTAATGAAAGGGATAATATAGTAATTTCAATGCATTTGCCTTTTATTTTTCCGTAGTAAATAATCACTTCCTTGATAAATACACATTATCAATTAAATTAGACTTTTAAAAATTCCAACATTAACGGCTGTATTTATTAATTACATTCCATGAAAATATTGAAATCTTATATTAATAATTTTTTTCTAAATTAATCCATAATTAAT